GACTAAGAGCATTTTCTGCAATTATATTTTCTACCCAAAATAAGAAGACACATAAATTATTTTACAGAGTTTTGATGAGATAAATTCATCTTGAAGCATAAAATTTATCAGCATGAAAATCTTTTGTGAAACCACTTTTTGACTGGAAGACTGGTAATAGAACAAGAGTAATTCTTGATGACTGATTGTAGAAGTATTTTAACTATTGTCACCTATCTGCACATAAATAAAATCCATCAAATCTTGCCTACTGCTTTGGAAAGTGAGCTGTAAAGTGGGCGATTAAAGAACATTTTTCTTCCTAAAAACTGTTAAAACAGAAGCAGAGGAATTTGAGAGTGAAAAGCCTAATGTCATATAGTAAGCTTTTCCTTTGAAAAAATAAATTCATAGAATTTATCTTTACTGACTTCATGAGCTGATTTAAAAACCATAATTTATATGTACTTCAAACCCTTTGGTCCTAATACTACTTTTAAAGACAGAGAGGGTCTAAAAAATTAGATCTGTGTATCCATATGAAAGTTTGAATCGGTGTTGGATGGTGACTTAAATTACAACTAAACATAATTTTATGATAATAGTGGATCATGATTTTTTTTTTTTTTTTTTTTTTTTTTTTTTTTTTGTATTTTAGGGAAGGGTCTATAGGGTGTTCAGGTTCTCACTACTAGATAGCACCCATAGTGATCCGCCTGTTTACAGCCTCCTAAGAGCTGGGATTACAGGCTCGCCACCGCGCCTAGTCTCAATTGCTGTCTCAGCACACCCTGGGGACAGGGCAGGCCCGGCAGGCCCAGGGATTGAACCCCCAGCCCCTGAGCCTGTTTGCTGGTACTTTAATCTGCTGAGCTATTTGACTGGCCTTGAAATACTATTTTAAATAGCCTTGACTCTTGGACAATTTTCAGCACTGCTTATATAATATTATCATGTAAATATGGAAATAACTTGATCTTCAGTGTGTTCCAACTTCAGCATCTGGGGTGACTTATTTTACATTTGCATCCTATATGTCATTAAACGATAACGTTTAGCAAAGTCACATTTCATTGTCGCTGACATATCTTATGAGCACAGAGCTCAACAAAACAAAGCCGTAGTAAGAGTTCTGGCTTTGCTTCATATTTCATTTCCTGTTCGTAGCTTATTGTTTACAAGGCTGGGGAGCCTTGGACTTTCTTTAGAATATAGAATTCATTTTTTGTCAGGAGATATTTATACCAAAGTGAACAAAGGGCACTGCAGCTCTTAACAGATACGAAGTAATACATCTAAAATGATCTTTCTCTCATTCAATTTTAGAAAGAGTTATTAACGAAAGTCTTGCTGACACCAAATGTTTGACTCAGTTAATTTTGGTATTTCAGCCTCCGATATGTATTAGACATTTCTTTCCTTCCACCCTACCTCACACCAACAATTACCCGATTCCAAGATTAAAATCTCAGTGAGGTAAAAAATAAAAGGGGAGGTTTGTGGTCAGCAGTAACATCAGGGTTCGTGAGAATTTTATCACATGTTGACTTTAAAAAAGCATTTAGTGGATAATGAAGTGCATTTTCCACTCACTGAAAATTCATTTATGGAAAAATAGCATTCATATGGGAAGAGAAAAATCCACTCACTGTTGCTTCATTTCCACACAGGAGAGAAAAGGAAAAAGCACTCAGGACTTCTCTGGCCATAACCAAGGAAATACAGTGAAATTCTGTTTTAAAAAAGAAAGCAGAGGCAGGGTCTGGAGTCACCAAGGCCTATTTCCTGTGCAGAAGGCAGCTGAGTGTGCACAATAGCATATTCTCCTCTCTTCTGTAGTCGACCAAGGTGAGGCACTTCAACTGCGATTCCCAACTTAGGGAAAATTCTAACACATGTTATATGTGTGAGTCCGCATGTATGCATATCCACCAGTACTGTAGCAAAATCTGTAGTCTTGCCATTTTTTTTAAACTAAGAAAGAACATAAAGAGGAATTGTTCACTAATATCCTGGTCCAGTTCATGAATGCTCTTGCTCAAAGCAATCTGGTTCCCATACAGAAGCATTTGGCAAAATTTTGCTTGCATTCACACATTCTGCATCACGTGAGGAACACGACTGTGGCCATCTTTCCCAAAACTGTGGAATGAGTTATGTTTGAGAACCGAGGTACCACTATATTTACAGTATGCTAGAATATAACTCAACCTTACTGTTTCCTACTTAGGTAAAACCAATGAGTTCTTTTGAAAATGAAAATAGATAATTACTACCAACAGTATGAGTAAGGTATGTAAATAACAAAAATAGATCTTCATTTTAAATACAACTTTTAAGACTTTCCTTAATATTCCTAATCTTGTGCTTACTTCAGCAGCACATATTCTAAAATATTCTTTGGGTTTTTTTGGCCATCTCAGCCCACCCTGAGTGTGGGAATGGTGCAGCATGTGGTGCCTAGGATCAAACCGCAGAGCCCTGCTCCTGCCTAGGCAGGCACTTTATACCGCTGAGCTATCTCACCAGGCCTAAAATTTCTTATTTAGTATTTGCTCTAGTTTCAAGATCAAATACTGTACAAACAAGTATCCTTCACTGCGTCAAGATATTTAAAAATAATTCTGCTTAAGCCATTGCATACATTATTGACCAGAATGTGGACTGGTACAAAATTTTTTTAGGGTAGTTTGGCCATACCTATCCGAATATCTCTTCTGCCAGATTTCAGTTCCAGCACTGTTACATGAGAAGGGCCCGAGAAGCTGTTAACTTTCATCCTTACAAAATGAAGCTCATAAACTGAAAAATCAGCATCTTCTCTTGGATCCATTAAAGATACAAGGAACAAATTGCCCCCCACCTGGAATCCAGAGATAAATTCATCTGAGATCTGTCCCCTGGGAGTGGCTGGATGTACAGTGGGTCCATAGTAGTCCAAAGTAGTAGTCCTACTAAGGACATTTATAGGGTCGTTTTGATAACTGGCTAGAGGCTAAATAGGGAGGAGTCTGAGCATGAGAAACCCCCAAAGGATACAACTTTGATACTTAGATTACTGAGGAGGTATATTTACAGAAGTCAGAATTCAGGAGGCAAATAAAAGCCAGTCAAATGAAGAAATCCAAATTCAATGATGTCTATAGTTACTGCAGACATAAATACAACCCAGTTCCTAGCAGAGTGACTTAAACTTTCAAAATAAATTAGTCATGGCCAACTAATTTGTATTTGTTTATGATGAATAAAGATGCTATAAAATTTTGCAGGTAAAATCATGTGAACATGCTTTTTATTTCTTTGGGATAAATGCCCAAGATTTCAATTGCTAAATCATATAATGGACAGATGTTTGCACCACAAGATCTACCGTAATTTTTCTGGAGAATCTGTATCAGTTTGTATTTGTATTGGTTTTCTCACATTCTTACTAGTTTTTGGCATTATCACATTTTTTTTATTTTACTCCTTTTGGTTGGCATATAGTACCATTTTACTGAGATTTTAATTTATGTTTCTTAAATGATGCTGAAAATCTATTCATGTATTAATTTGTTGTCTGCATATTTGTCCTCAACAAGAAGATAAGCTTTATTTTCATATTTTCTACCCATCTTCTTGTTGTTGGTTATTTGTAATTGAGTTTTCAAATTTCATAATATTTTTATATGAGTTCTTTTTTGGATTATGGTTTTCAAATAATTTCTGTGACTTTGCATGCATTAGTCAGCTTTGCATTACTGTATGAACGTACTTGAGATAATCAATTTAGAAAAAGGAAAGGTTGATTTTGGTTCACGGTTTGAAGGCTGTAGTGTGCTATGGGTTGGCACATGGCTTTTGGCCCTGTGGTGAGGCAGCACATCAATGCGGGAGCACACACACAGTGGACAAGACTCTCACACTGCAGTCAGATGCTAAGGAGACAGAAGAGGCCAGGGACCTACAGTTCTCTTCAGTGATGCAGCCCTAATTATCTACAACCTCTGATCTTCTAAACATCCCACTATTTCTCAATAGCACTGAACGGGGGACTAAGTCTGTAACAAATGAGCCTTTGCAGATGTACCAGACCCAAAGTGATGGAGCTTGCCATCCACAGTAATGGAATTTATCTTTTTCTTTTTCTTTTTTTTTTTTTTTAACAGGGTCTTGCTACATACAGACTTGCAGTGATCCTTTTGTCTCAGCCTCCCCAGCACTGGGATTACAGGTATGCATCACCACACCTGATCTCAGGGTTCCCATGGTGTACCCAGGGTCCTGGGGCCAGCATGGCATACAGTACCAGGTATCGAACTTGCATCTTTGAACTTGCCAGGCAGGTGCTTAGACAGCCAAGCTATGTCCCCAGCCCCTGCAATTCTCCTTTTTTTCTTTGCAGTCTTTAGCAGAGAAGAACATGCTGGAATTTTTCTTCTAAAAACAACCCAAATGTTATTTGATAGGTAAATACATGTATCTATTTATGTGTATGCCATGAAATACTATCTGGCATTGGTAAGGAATGCACTATTGATGCACATAAAAACTTAGATGGATTTCAAGGGAATTCTATTCCTTGGAGAAGACAGTTTGAACTGGTTACATATTATATGATTCTTTTTTTATATGGCATTCCTGAAAGGACAAAATTGTATACATGGAGAACAGGTTTTGAATTGTTAGAGATATCCAGGGAGCTGGCTATGACCACAAAATGCGAAGGCAGGGCCTCCTCGTGGTAGACCAGCTCAGTATTGTGCTGCGGTTGTGCGCACACAAGCCTACACACAGCAAGGTTTCCTGGAGCCATATACATGAGCAAATGAGTACATATAAAATTGATGATTTTATAAAGTGTTTGTGGGTTACATCAACATAAATTTTAGTCATCCAAATGTTATCTAGGGCAACTGGGTGAAAGATATACAGAACCTTTATCATATCTCACCCAGGCATGTGGATTTATAATTATTTTAAAATGTAAAACCTACAAATGTCTTCGTTGTCATTCTTAAGGAATTCAACAGAACAAAAAGGTGGTGGATGTGACTGCATTATCATGCTTAGCTTAAAGTCTGTGCAAAGAAGAATCTTCAAAGGATACATTTGTATTCTGGAATAGTCAGAAAAAATAGACAAAGCTTCTAAGTAACTTTTAATAGTAGCTACTTTGAACTTAAAAATATGTATGTGAAAAATATGTGTAGAAGTAAAAAGTTCAGATAAAAGGCAAAATAAATTAAACCACTATTTAAACTCAACCTTTTAAATAACATCAAACATAAAGAGTCTAAATGCTCATTAAAAGTCTTAAAGTATGAGATTCGCTAAAAAGCATGACTGAGCAATATAAGTCCCACAAAAAAAAAAAAAAATCTGCTTTAAAAGTACATTAATACAAGTAGGCGCAGGGGCAAGATTAGATCCCTGGGCCTACAGTGCTGGCCCTGCCCACAGGGCACGCGAAAACAGCAACTGAGACTGGGAGTGGTGGTGCAAGCCTGTAATCCCAGCTCTTGAGAGGCTGTAGACAGGCAGGTCACTGTCAGTCTGCTCTAGTAGTGAGACCCTGAACACCCTGTAGACCCTTCCTAAAATACAAACCAAAAAAAAGTACATTAATAATCCAAAAGGTAAACTAGATACTGTGAAAGGGAAACTGTTCAAAGAGAAGAAATAACTGGAATGAGGGAAAAGAAAAAAGAAAGAGGGAAGGAAAAAATATATATGTATATACACAGGATAGCTTAGATAATTGCACGGCTGATTTCTACTCTTCTACCTTAAGGAACAATTAATGCTTTTTCAAAAAATGTATTTAGTGCAGGGTCTGCAGGGTCTCATTACAGAGATAGGACTCGTAGAGATCCCCCTCTCAATCACCATCTCAGTGCGTCCTGGCAGCGGGGTCAGCACTGCACTCCGGGGATCGAAGCCCGGCCGCTGTGCTCTGCCTAAGCAGGGGCCTCAGTGCGCTGGACTATCTGACCCGCCCGCTAATGCTGTTTTTTTTTTCTTTTCCTTTCTTCTTTTTAATTTTTTGACCAATTTTGCATGCATATATCTGGGAATCTGGATAACTAATTTGAAGACAACAATATGCAATGTAATAACCAGTGTTGAATCCCTATCATTTTGTGTAGTGAAATTGTGCATCATTTCTAATGTTTGTTTTTACTATTTTTTATTCTTTTAAAAAAATTTTTAACAAATGATTATAAGTAGACTATTACAAGAAAAGAAAAAAAATAAAAATAAATTAAAAGGAGTGAAACTCTGTACCACTTATAATTTTTTAGTTTTAAGTCTAATTTGCACTCTCAAAAAAAAAAAAAAAAGAAAGAAATGAAAAAAGGTATGTCATGCTAAAGCAAGTGGAAAGAAGCTGAACCTGCACATGTCTGTGACTCCAATATTCTGGGAGGGAGGC